AATGCATTTTCTAAAAGCTTTATTAACATCCAAAAATAGATTTTAATAAAATAAAATAAATAAATAAATTGTGTCTCTGCTAGCTCATATGCATCAGACCATGGCTTCAACTACGATGCTTTTGTCTATTTTCTGGCAACCACTCCAATACATTTGGCAGAGCCCTGCTCTCAAATCTCCTTTTAGCTAAAATTTATGGGCATTAAGCCTGAATTTTTCTGCATAGAAAGCATGTGTTTTGCCACTGCCATGATCCTATCCAGTTCAAGTAACTAAAAGACAGTAATAGCCCCAATTTCATGAAAACAATTATTCATCTATTGCAAAATGCTATATATGCTGCAAAATGCAGAATATTTTTTTACATTGTGTTACCCAGCTTAATTTTTAACCTGCAATGAATATGCTGTTCAGTTTGATAGTCAGTATATACAAACTGGGTTTATTTGGGAGGTCTGTAAGAGCCGTGCAATATTGTTGAGCTCTCGCTGTAATCCTGAAGTCTGTATAGGTCAATGCCTGTGTCTTTCTGTCTTGTTTAGGTAGCAAACTACAGTGTACATGGCTTATTCTCTGAGACCAATCTTACTGCATATGTAAAATGGAATTTAAATCAATTGGCTGTTTTATATACTTTCATAACTGTTTGAAAGGGGTCCATACATGCTCTGAGATATTGGTCTTCAACTGCTGATGTGAGGTGTATGATAGGATTGACATCATCACTGTGCATGTATATGTGTATGTTGGCAATGCAAATCTTTGCTAATGACATTCTAAAAGGAAGCAACAAGTAATTTTAGCAATTTTCTTCCCACTATGAGACATTTTTTTTAAAAAAAAACTGCACCAGATTTTTGCTCCACAAAATGCATATTGACACCCCTGGAGTAACCAAAAAGGATTCAATTTTCAGATTATACTCTGAACAAACAGCAAACCTTTGACATTCTTTTCTTTACCAGATCAGCACCCACAGGATAGTGAGAGAAAGTGTCAGTAAATAAATAAATAAAACTAATTGATTAGCTAACTAACTAAATGCATTTTTCATCACCACTTAGCCTATCATGGCTTCCATGACTGTACACTGTGGGTTAAAAACAACAACATATTACAATTGTTTTTAACAACCTTTTTTTAAAAAAGAGGCTCATACAGCTAAAACATTCACAAAAGCCAAGTCTAAAACTGGTTTAAGAGCAAAAGGCTGTGCCACCTTCCAGAAGACCAATACAGTCTTGGTCCTACAATATTGGTCTTGATCACCAATACATCAGAAGGTGAATAAGATCAAGACCCTGTATGCCTATGGAGTATAGGATAGATAAAGTTATGCTTTAAAAACTGAGAAGGCAGGCTTCAGCCTTGGAATGGCAAGATATTTGAACACATTCAACTCTAGGCAAGCTTTCCAAGGACTTGGTTGAGTATGGATAATACTATCAAGTCAAAATTAATTTGCATCAAGACATCAAACCAATAGTCACCACATTTTTAAAAAGTATAAATGGATAACACTGTGCATGGATTTAAAGACATCCAAATATATCTATATCTATATATATTATAGATATAGATATATAATCATGCTGTTCTAGACAGGAATAAAATTGCTATAATTTCAGTTTGAAATAGATCTCATCAGATCTACAGCCTTTTTGTTATTACTTATGCTGCTGTTGTTCTTGAAAAGAGGGGGCTGCTTTTATTAGTTTGGATTCCATCTCAAATATGCATCTGACAGGTATGTAAATGTCCATGTGCATACAGAGAGCCAAGACCTATCAGAATGGTGCATCATTTAGTTCACATAACATATCTCTGTGCATGTATTTGCAGTGTGTGTGTCTGTGTGTGTGTAAGAGAGAGAGAGAGAGAGAGAGCATATTGTGCCTGTGTGTGTATGTGTATAAGCATTTTTGTCCTTTCCATAAGTAGGTGAATCATGAATGCCAAAACATTTTGGAATTTTCACTAGAGCAAACATGCTGAAATATTGGGAACATACCGTAAACCTGTATGATTAACTCCTATTGAACTCAATTGCATATAACTGTACACAGGATTTCAGCAAGACTGTATATCTGAATAATTTTATGTCCTAGGTCCTTTGGTTGCCATTTCAAGTGAAAAATGATTTCAAGTCTAACCCCCACCCCACATTAATGTTCTAGTCTTAACATATAATGATAGCTTTCTTCAGATGATAGTAAAAAGCCCTCAGATACTACTGAACAAAATGAAGATCAAACTGATTTCTATATTTTACTGTATATTTTACACTTGATTTATGATATAAATATATCTAAGTAAAATATGTATATATTGGTTGGACAAAAAAAAAAAAATACTATTTTTGCAGCAGATCTACTATCTTGACAGAGTAATAAAATCATCTCAGCTACATTTCCCCTTACCTGAAAATTGTCTGATTTTGGCTTATTCCCATTGCTTTATACATTGGTAATGTCTCATGAATTTTAATATGTGGTTGGGGGAAATGACAGAGCAAATGTATTATAAGTATTATATATTTTATATATACTAAAGTTTAAAAGACCAGATCAAAAAACTTGAATATTTATTTCATTTTTAATTATGTTTGTGGCTGTTTGTAGTCTTTTGTGACTCACCCAAGCCATCTAGCTGTTTAAGCTCATTAATGTACCACTAATAAAACCCTTCCTTTTGTTCCATTTTGTTTCCTTGATTTGTAATCAAACATGCATCAAAACAGAAAAATAAAATACATTTTTAACTAATGATTTTGCACTTAGGCATATATTGTGTGTTCTAATGTATTTTACTTTAATATTTAGTTCATTTTGTTTAGTTTTGACTTAACTAAAGAGAACAAATTAACAACATTGATTAGAGAAAAAAACACTGGCAACATTCTTGAACAACTGGGAAGTTTTAACTGGCTTTTTGCAGAGAAAAGAGAATATTTTTTAACTGTAGGTTTTGACAATTAGTGGAATTGGTAAGGCTGAAGAAATATATGTATAGTAATTATAACAGGAGAAGCTACTTTATATAGTTATGTATAATCGTTAGAAATGTCAGAAATCAAGTTTATATTTGTTGCTGTTATTCTTGTTCTTTATTGTTCATTTCTTTCTCTACTTTTTGTTTGTATAATTTTGCAGTTTTCATTGTATTAGAAAAAGAATACGGAAAACTGGGGGAACAGGGGAAAAATCCCAGTGACAAAAGGGTATGCACAGGGCATAGGAATCCTGACTGACTGTTAGAGAAATATAAAACAAAATGGGAGCTGCTGGAATCTGGAACAAGCACATTCCACACTGTTGCAACCCTATTACATGCTTCCCCCAATAATTTCCACAAAGAATGCATAACTTATAGAATTCTCCATCGAACTAGATTAGAAGATAACATAGACGCTGAAGGCTTGTCTCCATGGGTGTTGTATCCTGAATTGCTGTTGAACTCACTGTGTCCTGTTTACATGATGCAAGGCCAGAACCCCTAATTGAGTGTGGACTGTCTTCATGATGCCTGCACTTGATTTGGAGCTTCCTTATCTATAACTGACATTTAAATAACTCACTTTTTGCTGGGAGTTTTCAGCTCTCTTCACAGCAACGATGGCAGCTGCTTTTTCAATAGTGATCCTTGCAAGCTGCCCACCGCTATAGGCATGAGTCAATTTAAGATCAAAATGAGATGTCCAGAGTCAATAGTATGACTATTCTGACCTCAGCCGTGATGCCTGGAGATGAATGAGGGCAATATGGGAAGGCAGCCACCTATCATTTGTGGTGAGATCCAAAATCCTGAAGCAAAAGAGAGCAGGCAAGGGGTGGATTGTGGGAGAATTCAAGGCCAGAATACTCTGAGGGCAGCCCAGAGTATTCTGGCAAGTGTATATCTACCCTGAGTCTGTTAATGGTCTTCAGTCACAAATAAAAGCTCTGTTTTGAAGTTATGTATTGAGGACAAATAACATTCATTTTGTGTGCTCTGCTGTCAGAGATTTTTTTCTAAATATTTCTGAAAATAGAATCAGCATATTAATTGGATGTTGGTCTATTGTTATGTTTTGTACATTCTTGTAGTAGAGAAAGGAACGATAGGTGCTGCAAGAATGTAACAACCCCACCTCTCCAATAGTCAATGTAAACTGAATGTTACCATTGGAGAAGGGGCATGAGGTGGCAACTTTTTATTTTATTACAAAGATGTAGTTTCTATAAGTAACCGTTATAGATTAAAATGCAATGATCTACTCTGAAATAAATGTGGGATCTATCCTTTAAGAACAATATTTATTTATTTATTTATTTATTTATTTTGATTTCTATCTTGCCTTTCTCCCTGAAAGGGACCCAAGGAGCTCACAAATAGAAATTCTAAAAACATATTACAATAAAGCAATTAAAAATATCATTAAAACAATATCAAATTATAGACATTAAAAACACACTAAAACCATGATACTCATCCTATATAACAAACATCCAAGCCACCCCATGCTTATACATCAAAAGCCTGCTTGAATGAAACCATTTTTGCTTTTGCAATAAAAAGGTGAGAATCTATTTATCTCTCTCCCTTTGTTCCCTCTTTGCACTTACTGAATGGTCTCAGATCCGAACATATAGTAGTGATTCCCATAACCACACATTTGATAAGTCTGGTATCAGTGTCAGCAATTCCAATCATGACACACTGGATAGTTCTGGACTCAGTGTCAGCATTCATCAAGGATTTATTTATTTTTTGCACTGTAGCACAACCAACTTCCAGGTCAGCCATTTCTCCATATAATGCTAGCGCTGAGTTAATAGATAACAAATAATCATTTGGTCCAATGAGAGAGGAAATACCTGCTTAAACAGTGAAGAATAACAATGGCCTGAAAGTTAGCTTGCTCACAGAATATGCTGAGCTTTTAACTTTTGGAAGTGTGTTTTAGAGTTCTAACACAGCTGATTTGACAACTACAATTCAGATTCTTTCTCAGCCCTTGCTGGCAATGCCAGGGATTGAACCTGAGAACTTTTGAATGCAAAGCATATGCTCTACCACTAGGCCTATGTCACCACATCATCTAGCAAGGCAATAAATGGGATGTAAATGTCTTGCACATTTCCACATCTCCAATTTATTGGCTGCCACTTCTAAGGAATGAGGAAACTTGCAGTGTTATGCCTTCATATTATATTACCCATTGGCCAGCATTCAGTTAGTGACTTAAACCAATGTATGTTCAGTGTAGGAGCTAGTGTGGTGTAGTGATTTGGTGTTGGAGTAGAAACCTGGAAACTTGGGTTCAAATCCCCACTCAGCCATGGAAACCCACTGGGTGACTTTGGGTAAGCCATACTCTCTCAGCCTTAGAGTAAGTCAAAGGCAAAATCCTCTCTGAATAAATCTTGCCCAAAACCCTCTGTTATAGGATTGCCCTAGTCACCATAAGACATAAATTACTTGAAAGTACACTACAGCAAAAGCAACAGCCCAAACTGTGTATGTTTTTTTGGTGATCATTTTCTTCTCTCTGCAGTGACCAAAGACTCCCCTAAGACTAACAATTTCACTGCAATATGCACCTCCTATAGCTATTCTGTGGCTGATAGAGAGTGGAGGGAGAAATCAGAGAAGTATTTAACTATGTCCTCATTGCAAAATGCAAAATGATTACATCAGCTGAGACCTTCAAAATACCCTGGCAGCTCTCAGCAGACAATATCATTGGTGTGTCTGACTGTAGAGACATAGCCAGCCTCTTCTCAGATATTCACCAACAACCTCTAATGCCTGGGAAGAGGTGCAGTGGCTAAGTCAGGGGTAGGCAACCTTTCCCCTTTAAGGGCCGAGGGACTTCAACTCCCAGAATCCCAGGAGCTATTGGCCAACATGGGACTATTGGCCAAGATGGCTGAGGCTTCTGGGAGCTGAAGTCCCTCGGCCCTTAAAGGGGAAAGGTTGCCTACGCCTGGGCTAAGTGGTAAATCTCGGTGATTGAGGTGAGAGAGGTAGTGCAATTTATGCTACACTCTGAAATACAGGCTCTTAGTCATTATTTATTGTTAAATATACCAGTGATATAGGAAGAATAAAACATGTCCTCCCCAGTTTCAGCAGTACAGAAACTGGTACAATGACTTATTCCAGCCAGGGCACTTTGTATGATGTAGGAGTAGAAATTGAATTATTGCTGCCTCTCTTGAGGTTTTGCTATCACATATTTAGTCCACTGTGGGAAGATTTTGCCAGATCACTTATCTTGGCAAGAGTTTGTGTGGTAGTTTCTTATTTAGCATCCAGCTTTACAGAGGGTATGAATCTTCAGAACAAGAGTTTCTTCTAAAAAAAGATCAAAGGAAAAATAATTGTTCAATTATATATGCAGTATTATGCTTACTAGCATCATTATACTGTGAAAAATGTAGCTCTAGGGGCAATAACATTACATACAAATTGTAGAGATGCCTCTTAGGGTGTGTAGAGCTGATTATTTCTGAAGAACAATGCAAACAACTTCTTATAACTGCCATAACACTAGCCCTGATCTTATACTGCTAGCTTGATAATTGTACATCCATTTCTAGAGAAAGCTCACTGGAAGGAGAAAATATCTTGTTTCTGGTTCCCACTCACTCATTTCTTAAATCCCATTGAACTTGACAATACAGGAATTGATTAGATGAAATTCTAAATCTTCTTGGGTCTAATCAATTCCACACTCAAATCTTTTCAAAGGGGATTTCAAATGTTGAGACATTAATAAAGGAATATTTTTATGTTACTTTTTTTTCCTTTTATAAAGGACAGAATGTACACTCATGGGTTGTACATAACAACCTTCCTTTCATATACTAAACCAACCACAAACAACAACAACAACAACAACAACAGAGCCTTACAAATCCAAAGCAGGTATTGGAAAGGGAAAAGATGTTATTCATCACAGAACTTGCAACAGATGTGACATTCCTGCCAGTCACAATAAAGTATGCTCACATGTCACATTTCTTGGGAACAGTTTCAGTTTCCCTTGATGGTGAAGGGATAATCAAAACATATACCACATTTTCACACTAACCTCTTACAGTGCTGCTATTCCACTATTAGTGCTCTAGCTGCCTCCTGTTGCATTCTGAGGATTGTAGTTCACTGAGGCCTAAGAGCTCCCTGGTTGAGAATTTTAAAGGCCCTGCCATCAACTGCAAATCCCAAAATGCAACAGGAGGCACCTAGAGCATTAATAGTGGAATAGCAGCACTAAAAGGTTGTACTGCAGAAATGTGGGTACAAAGATATCTGTCACCAGTTTCTTTCCAATTATTCCTCATTCTATTTTGAGGGGCCCACTGAACTATGTGGGAGTCTTTTCATGAGTGTTGGGGTTCCTGCTGTGAGAGAAATGGGAAGTCCTCTTCTGAGCAAAAGAACTTAATATTATTTTGGAGCCAAGCTACTTTGTTCTATTCCTGTTTGGCCAAATTCAATTGCAAAAGTGATTTCAATGGAACTTTATTCTATTCTCCCTGCAGAATCCAAAAATCACTTCTAGGAAGTTTTTCAGTTGCTCAGAGCTGATGTGGGGGAGCAATGGGAAAGGGGAAATGCCCACCTATTCTGCCATATTCCTCCATTCCATACCAGTGGATCCCACCAGTTATATTTTTGTCACTACCATAACTAATCAGAGACCAATTTTGTGTGACTAATATTTGTTCATTGGTAAAGAATTGTTTTGTTTTGTTTGTTTACAAAATTGGCATTCCATAACAAAGCAGATAATTTTAGTGCAAATGTGCCAGGAAATGAATCTGCTCACTTCCAGGTTAATTTGAAAGAACTGTACTTAGCAGACCAACAAATTAGTCAAATGAAATATAACTGAAATTAATTTGTGTGATGGTTGCTTTGTTCTGTTTACATTTTTGTGACTAGACTTTGCTTGTCATCAAAGCAAATATCAAAAGACCTGGCAAATTAAATTTCTTCTTCTCTGTATATTAGCCAGCTTATTTTGCTAGTCCACCTACCTACAGAAAAAAAAAAAAAAATGAAAACCCAGGGGATATAAAACACCCTTTCCCTTATAGCATATTGAATTTCCACAGTTAGATTAGCACTTTCATCCCATCCCCCTCAGCAAATCTTCAGCACCATCAACACAAGGGCCAATCCACTCAAGAATATGAGGTGTGTGTATGTGTGTGTTCTTTTCTAATAGTCTTCTTCCTCTCATTGGAAGGTGCTGGCAGGGACAAATCCATTGTATGAACATAGCAGTCATAGCAGAAATGCCTAGGATCTCAGTGCCAGTTTTGCCAGTGAGTCCAAACTGTATTGTCTGTCTTCCAGTTTGTCTGTCTTCCTGTTTACATCCTGTCTTTCTGCTATGCAACAATAACACACATTAAGATCGGGGAAGTGGAATCAACTTGCATGAAATTGCCTGTTTAACAATGTGAGGCTGATTAGATGCTGAATTTTCCTTTCTTTCATTTTTATATCTGCCACAAGATGATTCTGTATCAAGCTCGAATAAACCTTCTAACATCCATGCAATTAGAGTTGTATGGTGGAGTGCAGGAACATGTGAGGTGACCTCATCCCCTCTGTTGTGTCCACATCAACCTCTCTCACCACTTTCCATGTATAGGAAGTGGAGGTCATCCTTGTGGAAATATTATTTAGAGCCCAGATAGTTTACTTTGCAAATCTCCCTATAGCTACAGGGCCAGAAGGAGGAGGATCCTGTCTACAAAAGATATCCTCCCCACCATATGCCATCTTAACTAAAGACTGAAACAACATGTAAGCATATGACTAACATCTCCAACTGTTTTTCTTCTGTTTGGTTTGTAAAATCATGCCTGATGAAGAAGCTCATGGAGTTTTGAAAGCTTGCAACAAGTATATTGTGCATTTTGGTTGGCCAATAAAGTTATCACTGATGGATTTTTGTTTGAAGTTCCAGCTCATGTACAGCAGTCTCCCTGCCTGCAGGCACTTTGTTCTTCAATACATTGAGGATGAAAGGGTTGGCTGACCAAGACTTTGGGGAAAACATCCCCGTCCCTCAACCTTGCTAATGAACCACATTAATCATTCAGAGTCTGAACATGCACCAGGTCAAAGAAGGCTAGTTCCAATAAAATTATTTACTTCTAAGAATGCAAAGGGATGCTGTAGAACAGGGGTTCCAAAACTACAGCCTGTGGGCTGGACCCGGCCCGTCGAGGCCTTCTTACCAGCCCACAGCTGGTCCTGCCGCCACCGCCACCGCCACCGCCACCACTGCTCGCGCGCACCGCCGGACACCATTTTGTCTTCCAAAATGGTGTCCAGAGTCGTGTGCATGCGCCCGGCCCCCAGATCAAAAAGTTTGGGGATTCCTGTTGTAGAACCTTTGCAACTAACTGAGAGAAAGGAGTTTGTAGCATATGTTTTCATAGACTGGGTCTACATCATCAGATGCATGACTCAGTCTATGAAAATGTATGCAACAAACTTCTTTCTTTCAATCTCAAAGATGTTACAATGTCCCTTTGTGTACTGACCCAGACTAACAGGGCTATGCCTTTGAATTCTTACTCTTAAGTACAGTAGTTGATCAGTGTTGACATTCCAATATCACAGTTAAAATTTGATACAAAACAGCACCAGAGTGTTAAATATGGCTAGATTGCAACAACTAAACAATGCTAATTCAGCTATTTTCTGCAAATGTAGTAACAACTGTATACAACCTGTATACAGCTGTAGGAGATGTCTGATTGTACATTCTCTCAATTTCTACTGCCAACACGTTCATAGCCAAAACAAAGCCATGTACAAGAAGGGAGGTATCAGCAAGCCTTGGAAACCACAAGGTTTTCATTTGTCTGAAAACTTTAGAAGAGGAGGGAATTTATTAATGAGGAAGGAATCAAATGGTCCAAGGGAGTACCCAATAGCCACAGAATGCTGGCTGATGGTTGCTGGGTGGGAGAGAATACTAGGTAAGAGGAGGATAAGGAAGACTTGGCTGACAGAAGCAATAAACAGGAACACTCCATTCTACATTTTGTTGCAATCCCATC